TAATAGACGACAATATACTCGATCAACACCTTTTCACATCATTAACACCACTGAATTTGTTTTGTGTTGTTCCATCTGTGTAGCGAGACCAGGGGATATGTGTATAGGTGTATTACAAAGCATATAACGAATGTCAGTCCAATACTGTAATATTATCAGAGATATTTGTCCTTCATGTCAATACTGTCACAAATTAATAAAGATATATGTATAAAATGAGCCAGCACATTTAAAATTAGATTGATTGAATCGTATACACATGATCCTATTTAGGCAGACAGAGTCACCGGGTTCATATGACACTAATTAATATTTTTGATAAATGCTATGAATATTGCATTTGTTAATCCCAATTACACTATCTCTTTTTTGCACGGATAATATATATTCCTCATGTGTTTATTCTCTCAATTGTGTTTTCTAAACTACTTTAAACCAACTTACACATGTGTTAGACTGAGAAATATAATTGCAATGTTAGGAAATTTCTTGAAACGTTATAAAGACACAAAAAGATTAACTTATATCATTTGTTGTACAAAAATAATCGTGCATCTAAAATGTCAGACAATTTATAACTGCAGAAAGTTGCACAATGTTTTAAAATTTATTTTGAATAGGATATATATGATGATTAGAGTAATTTAGACTGCGGGACTGAGAGGGAAAATATCGATTTATATAAAGATATGGAAACCAATTAAATTCATTCTGTTTTGGCATATAAGCATACTGTATTATTATTTCAAATCATCTAAAAATGTAATGAAAAAAAAAGATCCACGGAAGCCAAAACAGCGTATCGCTTTGAAACATAATTCAATTAAACTATTAATTCCATAATTGTTAAACACATTTACATAATTAATAAGCGTAGCATTCTATTTATACAACTTAATGTCTTTAATTAAATCTCTGCCTGCAGGGATTCTTTTATATGTGCATCGTTCCGGTCCAAAATCCTCCGCTCGTCAGACGGCGATAGAGTTACCCTCCCTTCGTTGTTTATTAAGTATGGGGTCGGTGTAGATCCTTCCTGTCTGGGTATTATTACAGGGTAACAGATTGTGACCTATTGCTAGGTTATATAAAACCGATTAATCAAGACGTTAAATGCATTTACATTTAACACAATTAATGCAATGTATTTTAAATGCCAATATTTGAGCCAATGGTATGGTTTTCCCTTGTTTGTCTTTTTTGTGTCTTTTTCTTTCGCACAGTATTTATAGAGCTTGCATAGCTACAATATGTCTTTTGTTTTTATCTTCATAAAAACTTACCTGGGAGTGAAGTGAAATAAATACATTGTTTTATATATTTCACAGTTTTATATATTTCACAGTTTTATACATTTCACAGTTTTATATATTTCACAGTTTTATATATTTCACAGTTTTATACATTTCACAACAAAAAAGAAAGAACACTCTGTCCATGTTTAAAAAAAATTGGCAATGAATAAACATATACTCAACATATTAAACATATTGCTAAGTTGTTGATACAAATATACGGTTCATGCCATCATTATTGTGTATCTAAACGCAATTGAAAACAATATAGGAAATAATTTTAAACATGTTATAAAACTACATGTACTAGTTTTCGCTTTTGATTTATTTGTAGTTCTACATGCATTCTCGAGTACAATGTGAATTAGTCTAAGATATTGTGTAAAAGATATCCTGCGTATGTTGTGGTCAATGTCACAAAATTTAAGAATTAAATCCTAACATACCCTTTGTTTTATTGTAGAGGTTTCAATATAACGCATTGGTCGAATTTTAAAGTCGATTTTATTATTTAACAAGTAACAAAGAGACGTAAAATCGATTTCAATCTCACAGATAACAACATATTTGATCAGCACCTGTTATCCTTGTTAACCCTACTAGATTAGTTTCGTTTTGTCTCACCTGTGTAGGGAAGATTTATATATATTAATATACAGGTGTTTTACGTATCATATTACTAACGTTGGTTTTTATGACAAATGTATCAAAGGTATGTGTCCTTCATGTCAACAGCGTGAATAAATAATAAAGATGAATATAAATGTAAGAATGAGACAGCACATTTAAAATCAGATTGATAATATCATATACACTTGTCCATAATTTATTATCCAGAGTCACGAGACTTTTACTGCTAAGTTCTTATTTGATTAATTATAACTTATCATTGTAATCAATACCTGCTAATCCCGATTAAATTCACGTTCAGCCGTAATGCTATGATATCTAATTTACTTCTAATGTACATGAAACTGTATCTAATGAGTTTAATATTAAAAAGTTAGTAAGCTAATCTTGGACAATACAGATTTGGCCTGGAAAACCATTTTACACCTGCACCTTTCAATGTAACACATGTTTCACATGTGAAACTATTACAAAAAGTTTAGATATTAAAAAGTTAGTAGGCTAATATAGCTGTGACCCGGAAAATTACTTGGCATCTGTTAAAAACACGTGTTTGGTCAAAATTCGGTCATTGCTACAAAAACGACAAGACAATAATATAAGTTTAACAATTGGCTTGAGGAATATAGCAACTGTCTTGTTCTCTTTGTTGAGGGGATATCAGAAACTTCCTTTATCACGAATTCCTACATTTAAGTTTTATCATGCCGGCTTAGAAGCCGAGATATTTTTATAAATCAATAATCCAACAATAATTTCCACAAAACTTCTGAGAGTCATATCTACTCTTTCGATATAATCTGCGCTTTCGTATCCAATCGATAAAAAATGAGAGGTATGGGGTAATACCAATTTCAAGGCCGATAGAGGACTGAGAAGTTAAGCCGTTGCAAAAGTAGAGCTCTAGTCAGTTTTACGGGTTACTTTTAAACAGAATTAAAAAAAATGTAGACTTAAATTAGATTTAAACGAATTTAGATATTTACATCGTGTAGGAATATATTGTTTTTCTATTAAAAAATACTTAAAAGATAGATAATTCTCATTTAATCTGGTAAAATGAAATTTCCAATATACCGTTCATATCAATAATTCACCTGATAACGTTCTAATAATTCAAAACAAAGATTCTCTACAGCGATAAAAAAGATTATATAAAGCTCGTACTTGGTGTTCGACACCATATGGCACATTTTCGTGCTAATCTAAAATAATTAATGATGTGAAAACTCCGGGTGGCATATTATTCTGCACTACGTCAAACACACACCGTCGGGGAAATAAATTATATGCCCTCTACATGGTAAATCTATTCAAACATTCTCAAGAATGTTATTCCAAGTGTAAAAGACTGCATTATCGTTAAAACCTTTCTTCATTTAACGATAAAACCTTTCTTCATTTAATAGATAATTAAGTTCGTTGTTAAATATTTAAATCGCTTTACTTAGGACTAAATGTAGATTATAATAGAGTGAATGTATGGTGTAGCTTTGTGTTGTTCATTGTTTGTAACTTTGCCGGTGGTAAAGACGTTGGTGCATTAGTCATTTGTTATATTTACGGATTACAAATATGAGATTTAAATGTCTAAAATCTTTTGGTTAGTCTATTAAAGTGTCAAGAGCTATTGAATAGATTACCTGTCAGGAAAATTACAAAGGTGTACAAAGAAAATGGAATGCGTCACACTCAGAGTCGTACAATAAACCAGTTGTAGCCGTGTGTATTTTCACACGTATTTCTTCTTACTCAGAAAATATGTAATATACACAAAGGTTCTCTTTTCCTTTTGAAATATGAAACAATTCCGTCTAATTTGATACGTGAAATGTCAATTTCTTAGCGTTATCAGGCCCGGCATCTGTGAAGGTCTCTAGCTTTAGTTAAAATGGTTGTATACATGCCCTTTTACATGTACCACACGAGTGAAATTATTTTATGATTTACAGAGAAACACACACAGAAAAACACGTTACTATGTAAGACATTGAATGATGTAATCCTATGTATTTTAGATACGTACGCCTACGACGAAACGTTGACTCACACGTATACCTGGTCAGTGTGTTTAAAACTCTCCAGTCTGATTCACACAGTATGATTAAACTCCGTCTGTGACTGGTCATTGTTTCAACAAACTGGACCAATATACCTGGGTAGTTAAGTATATTCTCACCGTTTTAGTATGTTGTATAATCGGTAATTACATAAATACCACGCCACTAATGTATGTACGGTAGATTATCACTAAAGTAAAGACATTCTTTTTGGACTTAGATATAACAAGACTTGTCAGCTTAACAAAAAATCAACTCAGTTTTCAAAATTAACAATATCAATACTTTCGTGGGGTTTAATTGCTAATTTTGCCGCATTTCATTTGAAATATTATATTTACTTTTTGTTTTAATCTGTAAAGCTTATTGAGCTAGCACATCGTTCTGATCAGGTTCTAGCCTTTCATTCCTGATATGATTATGTCAAGCTGTAGGATATTTGTGACTATGGAACTGTTGTCTTTGAAGATTTCATAAAGAACGTGGTTGTATGGACGACTCCTATGCCATTATAACTAAGTATCAAAATGGTTTGTGTTATAAAAATGTGGGCAAAGCACATTTAACCATATACAGCTGATATTCATTAGTAGTGTTTATCGATTTACTTTTTAAACAATTAGTATGTTATATACGTGCTCTTTATCTGCATCTTATCAATAGTTCAAATACGTCCATATTACATATGTGCTAAACTACAGAACACATAATTCTTATGAAACTGTCTGTGTACTTATCAAAATACCGATCTATACGGGCTTCTGAAAGAAAACGATTCAATATCGTATATTTAAATATCTACACTAATATCTCTTGTATTCCTGATTAAAACAAGTGTTACAAATCATAATAGAAGTTTATATTGATTATATTTTCCAGTAGTCCTATGTGCTACGAGGATATCCCGGAAACTGTTATTGCATCAAATAAGTACTGCATGTTATTATGTTTAAGAAACTATTGTTTTAGTACAAGATATTAATAAAGTGACTAAAACACTTTTCTTTTATTAGATATTTTATTATTCATGTAAATCAAATGCAAATTGCATTATGTCGTTTATTTTTTTTATACAGAGTCAACTTTCTTCCGCTTTTCTACACATCTATGCACATATATACATTTACACACTTTTTTATCGGCCACTATTTGGTCGAAAGTCTACATAGTTTCTCATTCGTAAAAAATGGTAACATACAAGTACATGTGTCACATAACATACATATAAATGGCATAGTCATCGGCTGACCATTCCTTGTCGTTAATAACAGAATACAGACACATTCAATTTCTCAATTATAAAATACACACATAAATACTATCATATTCATTCATTCAACCATAACAAATGACAATACCAGTAGAACACATTAAATTAGGTAGATTGAGCAAAATGTCAATTAGTTCATGAAAGACAAATGTATTTGGTTATTAATGAATTTCTTGTTTTCACCATATTTAAGAACTAAGGTGTCTGTTGTCAATGTTTTGTCAATAGAATTGTTGACCAAATGATACGGTCATAGAGCACCATGAGTGAAATATCTTCCACGTTCGTCGCGAATTCGGATTCTTCAAAAAGTTGACTAAGGACGAGACAACTGTCTTACAGGATTCGAGGTTCTGATATGCCCATTTTTGCAAGAACCGCATGAGACACATGTCCATTTCCTGACACTTTTATGGCTGAACACATGTATGTAAAAGTTCACAAAATCATCGAACTCTTTTGAATGTTTTTTAAGTTGTAAAATACATATTTATACGTATACGTATAGATCAATGCTGTTGTGATCTTGCAAATTTCCACAGCTTGATATTTCTTCTCAGGATTTGCTCGTACGAGTAATACTCCGTGTTGGAATCCTTAGTAACGTGGGCTGAGGCGTTCGCTACAGACCGTGATCTTGACGTAGCGGAAGAGAAAGAGTCACTGAGGTTTTGTTCGTACCCAAACAAGCTGTCATCGCTATCAGAATCAGCAGAACTAAGATCTTCCATAGAACCACATGTATCTGGAAGAAGATAATGAAACGTATTAAAAATATGACTGATTAATATCATTTTAGTGTAATAAATTGTACAATTGTTAGGAAACGAAGTGCTCATTTTATTTCAAATTAAACATGGATACGTTCTTTGGTGCATTTTAAGTGTACTGTACAATTGGCTTTGTGACTCAGTTCTTACATTTCCTTAAACTATTTATGGATACGTTTTAAATTATCTCAACTCTTATCCATTCAGGATAATCTAGATGTATAGTTACCTTCAATGCTTGAGAGAGATCCACTTAGACTCCCATTCATACTACAGTAGTTGGGCACACTTTGCTGGCGGACAAGAGGAGTTTCTTCTGGAATAGATTCATTGTGATTTACAAAAACTCGACGACCGTTTAAAATGGCGAATTTCTTCTTAACTGGACCATGTAAACCTGGTCGCTGTTTGGAAAGTTTCTGGATGGTATCGTTGATGCTGATTAGCTGCTTCATCAAGTGGACATCTTGTTGTCTCAAATCCACCTGTAATTCAAAACAGAACGGTCTATCAATTACTATTTCAAAGAAATGAATTCTAATGAGAATTTTATTGAAAATCTTAACTATTTGTGCAATATGAAATTAATATTATCTTGAAAGATTTGCTCACGAAATATACTATAACTTACCATTTTTTTCTTTAGCGTTGCTAATGCGTCATTGATTCTGTCTGTAGAGGATGCTGATTTCATAATAGATGTCATGGTAGTTTGCTGAAAGAAGACAAAATGTTCACCGAATAGTCGTAGTTAACAGGTCGCTGTCTCGATAAGAACTAATATAACTACTGTTTTCAATCCTACTTATACACATTAACTATGAATGGCTTCCTAACGTCTTTGTATGTGTATAGATTTTTCGGTCGAGTACACACTTCTTTACAGAACACCTGGTGTAGAAAATATGTACCATCGGATTGGGGTCTGTTACACCTGTGACAGGTAACGTTTGTGTCAGGTGATTGTACGGGAGGTGTGTTTTAACATTAAGATTACGTATGATACGGTTCCTCCGATCCAGTTGTGTTCCAGTGGTCCTCTCCTGCACAGCATAATCCCAGGTGGGTGTAAGAAATTCTACTACATCAGGAAATAAAAGGATACTTTTTAGTGGTGAAATAGATCTGCTGGTTTTCGTCCATATTCTCACATATCTGAAACAATCGTCAATGAAATATACTAAACGATTGTAAATACGATCGAACATATCCTCGGCCAATATATTCTAGGTGGTCGAGACTATCATTTTACACCATCTTGTTTTAGAAATATCTAAGCCAGTGGTAAAAATATAAAGCCGATTCATACCATTTTTCCCCATAGGGGGGTCCTATTGTGTGTCACTCAAAAAGCTATCTGAGTATACTTGACATGAGGTTGAACTATTGATACCATTCGGCTTTTAATCAAGGATAAATACCTAGCCACTTTATACGTTCAGAAATATATGTCAATTAACTTATCGCTTAAATCATCGGGAATAAGGCTACAGCAACCTCACAACGAATCGACCTAACATTGGTTAAACTTGGCTTATGTAAATGGAAATTAAATGTACCTGTTGCATTAGAAACAAAATAATTGATACAAAATAAAAATGATAATAGAAACAAAATCGTGTGGGATATGAAGTAAAAGGAAATGATAAGCTTGCATTACAAAAGTAACACTGAGTGTCGAAACACGGTTATAGTTATCATACTAAGTACCCTCCCAACCTTACCCTATGATATTCGGTTACATATAAGCAGGAAGGTATGAAACAAGATTATTATCGTTACTTGTGACGATCCAACAGTTAGTGCAATAACCACGGAATTAAATCTGATTCCGTGTAGTAACTAATGAGTGTCGAGATAGTTCCTGTAAAAGCATATTTTCTTATAATTACGAGCGCTGAAATTTGAAATTCCGCTTTCGAATTCAGTTAACATTAGAATAATTATCATATTGAATAAATAGTAGCTTTAGTAAACAATGAACAAATTATTATTGATAAGAAGTATATCGTGACGTTTTTTCCTTGTTTAATGATTTTTCCACGGAAAGATTATGTCTTTGTTTGAAAGGTTTTTACGTACTCGTTTCCCGTAAATAATGAAACAGGTATCGAATTGTTTACACCGATTGGTCTAATGTATGTAGGAAGAACAACGCTGGGTTGTTATGTAAACTTAACTAACTTGTACTTTTAATGTGGTAAATCCATAGGTGAGGGAAACCAGAGAGAAACTACCTTAACATCTACGTGTATAATGTTGATGCATTCATATTTTGTCCAGTAACAAAACATTTTGTCGACGTATGCCATGGGAATTCCAGATCACAGTTTGCTTAACAACACCACTATCAACAAACCAGTTTTTGTGTTTTACGAAATATGTCCTTTTTTGGATTTATTTGTTACCTAGCAGCTATGGTTTTTTTTTCGTTTTTTTTTTCTATTTTCACAATATGTCTATTTAAAAAGTATGGAAACAATTAGATAAAATACACAGTAAACAGTTCGGCATTGGCACTGTTTTCAATGCCATCTAACTATCAATTAATGACGTAGTGTTTGTTTTCCAAAATATATTGTTTTAATAGTGCATTTTATAGTTTTGCGGAATGTAATGCAAAATAAGAGTCAAAGTTTTTTGGGAGTGAAAATGGTACTTACAGGGGTCTTTTAAAAGTCCTGATTAGCATCTCAAATTGTATCCCTAATCTGGTGATGTTACTGTAGCTTCTTAAACTATGATGAAGTGACGAGTGTAGTTAATTTGGCCTGATTGCAACATTAACCGAACCTAATTTACTACAAAAAACGGTTATATTAATCCTGTGTTGACGAGGATCAGAATACTAAATTGGCGTCCAGCCGACCAACTGGTCGTATACTATTTCACTGAGTAATGATCCTCCGACAAACACATTACTAGAAGCCCCCTGGTTTATTTTAATGCTGTTTCATGTATGTGATAAGAAATTGATATATATACATGCGCTTAAAATAAGGAGAAAGAATATTTGCTGATATTTAAGAAACATACTTTTGATATTGAAAAAATGTAAATTTCAGCACATTTTTATTTTAAACATCAGCCCATGATTTTTATTTCACATTGCATATTATCTGCATTGAAATAATAATAGCATTGTTAAAATATGTTAGAAAAAGCCTTTCAAATATCTTTTCAACAGCAGAAACTGTTTTTTAATCAAAGTATCTGAACTTTAGTTGATAACATTCGAAGCGTAATACATTTCATTGATAAAAGAAACTATTGTTATACTATTATATTATATTATTACTTTTAAAATTAATAACCTATTTTTTAAGATAAATATATCGTCTTATCAACTCAAGAATAAAATATCAATTAAGAATAGAACGAGAGGTATACGGGAGAGCTTAGGTTTCCTTTAAACATCTTACTTAACATTTGTTTACTAGGGATTTAAACCCCTCCACCCATTTTTAAAGTGCAGTCTTTAAACGACGAACTCCTATTTATTCTGCTGGGCCCTCCTTTCATCCTTTTTTAAAACTAGTATTTACAAGACTTACCGTTATTTCCATGTTAGGGCATATTGATATTTCCCGAACAGGTTGATAAAAAATCCCATTTTTGCACCGGCTTGTATAATTTTAATTTGTAAATATAAGTATAGCATTATTAAACTATATGTCAAAAACTTACTTATAGCTTCAGTATAAATTAAGCTTAGCAGTTGCAGACAGTTATGTTAAGGTTCAAGCAATCAATTAGTAATCAATACTATGTTTAGAAAAAAACAATCACGTCATATGAAATACATATAAAATCAAACTTAAGAGTTATATTGAACTTGAAAAAATAAATAAAATTGCTTCAATTATTATCATCCTTAATTTGCAAATCAAAATGATTAAGAATGAATGACGTATACTATTGGTTGGTTCGTTCAGATGTATCGTTTTGAAGGTTTTTTATGCACACGAAACATACCGAACTGACATCATTGTTTGCCCTTAGTGATAGGAATTCAATACTCACGAGTTATACGTAATACAATCGCAATGTAAGGTTAGACATGTATTATCTCACTGTTTGACCATCTAGGGGATATGTATTTTGTTCTACTGGAATAGCTTCTCGGTGGGACGAACGTTCTGCTGGGGAATAGGTAAATATATGACATAGTACGGCTCCTCAAGCTCGTCCCCTAGACACTGTTATATCGACTCTATATCGACTTTTTAAGTGTTTTAGAAATGATTCTGACATATACATCACGATTTCCATCTAATTTGTTTTTTGTATTTAAAATTGGAACAATAAACTAATGTTGTTGACTTTGATCACAATGTTTTGTTTGAATATTACAGGATGAGCTATATTTGTGCAATTTCTTTCCTAGGGGTTGTCTAAATAATCTACTCTATCATCAAAGCTAATGGTTTTCCGAAATTATATCACCGTATATGGCTCTAAAACAGAATGTTTGCGTTTGTTAATAGTGTATCTATAAATAAACACCCACTGAAGAATTGCACAAAAAAAGGAATTAAAGTAAAAGATTTTTTTGACTTTATCGAAAAAAGGAACAAATGTTCTTTATCTGTTAAGCTAACTTCAAGCATTAACTGTCCTTACAATTCTTCTTTTAAAAAATAAAAAAAGAAGAAAAAAAGACATCTATTGGAACGTTCTACAGTTTCTATGGACTGCTTACAAAGTATCAGTTTACTTATGAAAATCACCCCTATCTAAGTACAGACCAACTTCCTTTGGTTGATTCAATGGCTAATAAGCAAACATCTGGATTAGAATGTAAACTTCCGGTTGCCATCAGTTTGGTGTATTAATGTGTGTTGATGTTCCATTTCTGACCAGAGGGTTTGTAGATACGTGATGTGCTCCGTATCAACAGTGTATTATCTTGGTGGGGTTTCCCTACACCTCAGGTGATGACCAGACGACGAAAAACATGGTCGGGTATGTGTCTGGTACAGATAGTAACGACATCGCGTGATCATAGACTTGCTCAAGTTTATTAAAATTTCTAATAAACATCATATTCCTTTAGACCTAAAATGAATCACTAATTGCTAATTTTGGTAGGAGTATTAATTAATTAGAGATATTCAAGTCACCGGTTAGAAGAACATTGCTCGTAAACGCAAAATTTGAAATATGATATTTTAGCGTGCAAGTTCCCTTTTGATAATACTTAAAACGTTTGTTTTCATTTCAAGATATCTTTGTAGACATTAAAAATATTGAAATTTCTTACGAAGCTAGATAAAACGAGCGTTGAGTCAAATATAATGTTAACACAATCAACTGAATGTAATTGAAGTAAATAAAATCCATAATTTGAAATAAATGAAAAAAAAAATGAAAAAATAGAAAAGAAAATTATTTAACCAAAGGCAAACCCTTGATCTTGGCTATCTTTTGTGAAAATAAACACCCGTTTGCAAAAACGTGAATGTCAGATTTGATTAATGTTTCTAGATAAATATACTGGAAGTAGTCATTTATATCTAGAAAGCAAACCAGTGATTGATCGTGTATGCAATTGTTATCTGCTGCATTTAAAAATTAAATGGGCATCAATTTTATAAAACTGATATAGCTGTCAACGTTGTTTGTGAAGTGGCTATCTAAAAAAGCTATTCAGTGTCAGACTTATATTGATGAGGCAAATATTTCAGAAAAAAATGGTATCTTTTAAGTACTAGATAACCTCCTCCGTCGTATATACTGTCTGGTCGCTGTTGTAATTATGACACCAACATTATTACCTTTCATTAGATATATAAACAACACACTTAAGGGTTCATCGGTGTATATACGTACTAGTGCATATAACACACGACAAAACCGCAAACCCGGACGTGGTATTATATACCTGGTGAGAAATGAAGAGCTTTCTTTCTATACAAA